TGCTTTCAGGTAAAGAAGCAGCACTTGTCAGCTGGGGGCTCTCAGTGGCGTGGGGAGGGGGAATCCATTCCAGGCTCTTTTAATGGCTTGATCTCTCTTATTTTTTTTTTTCACCCTCTCCAGGCAAGCAGTTGCTAGCCTAGATGCAGCTGTAAGGAAGCTTTCGCACAACATACCTGTAATTGTTACCTGGAGCCAAGGGAGTGCTGGCCCCTCTTAAAACCAGCAGCCACCCAAAAGAGCCTTTCCCCTTTAAAACCAACTTTTTCCTTACTCGGCCAATGATTTTGGAAAGCCAATCTTTTCAGATCACACCCTCCTTTTGTGTTTAATCCTGGCCCCCAAATATGAAGAAGCCTTTGAATACTTAGTCCATCTTTGTCTTGTTTACTGTCGAAATGCTGAAGGCTACAGATTTAGTGGCTGGACACTTACACGGTTGTCTAATTTGTGACAGCCAACAGTAAAATGATCTTTTTGATATAATAAAAAAGAATTGGATTTAGGTGAGGGGGGGGGTTTGTTTCTTTAAAGTTATGAGGCCTCCACTTTTGCTTGCCAGTGCCTTTTTTGTTTTTTTGTTTTTTGGACATTAGATTACTCAATACGTAGAGTAGCAAAGTTTATCCTTGAAAGTGCACCTTTATAAAATGTTCCTGCAAGGAGACAGACAAATTAGTTTGTTTCATCTGTATACTTGAAAGCTGGGATATTGTCCATTTGAGGTTATAACGTATCTGTGAAGCAACAGAGTAGTAAATATGGGGGTTATAGATTTCCCCCCTCATTTCGCCCCCATTTGAATTTACATGGAATACCTTCTCCTTCCTAGAATGCAATAGAAAGGTACTTACGCTAAGTCAGTCTTACATATTTTAACTAACGTTATGCAGATGACAGCATCTTTTTTATGATTGCATAGAAAATTAAATGAGCTGAAACATTTGGTGATAATAGACTTCACCGGATAATATATGGCTAATTTCTCCTGTATGACTACAGGTGGCAGTGTAGAAGCCAAGAACAAAAGTTGGCAGAAATTATTTTTCTCTCCGTGAGAAAATGAAGAGAGTGTACACATGACTAAGCACAGGAACCTGAAATACCACAGGTATGTAAACGTGATTAATCTAACTGCTGATGAGCCTACTAGTATTTACTGCATTCTAACGTTTCTGATTTGCTTGGTATTTTTGGACCACATATCAGTTAATTCATTCAAATTAAGTTCTAATCAAACTTGTATAAAAATTCACATGCAATAACTAATGTGAAAAATGGTTTGAAGGTGGTTTTGAGGGGAAGAGGGTATGTCAACAACTCTTCACAGTTTGTTTTAACTACAAAAGAATTTGAATGCTGTAGTGTTTGCATAACTTGCTTTCTTAAATAGGTACAAGGTCTTGTACTAATTGTACTGATAACTTTATTTCCTAAATCAGATATGGTACTCTCTTATCTAAAATAGACAGACTTCAGTTGTAATAGGAAGTTTCAACTTCAAAGTGTGTCAGTCGTCTTTTATTAGGACTTTTAAAAATCTGCGGAGTGACAGAGGCAAAGGAATTAGGAAGATGTTTGTTGTTAAGTAAGCTTCATTGTTTGCATACTGGGGGCCAAAGGCATGCTTTCTGGAAGTGACTGTTAACTCATGTGCGTGCCCAGGCCCTTCAGACGTGCCTACCTTAGAAGTTATACTGGTTTAATGCAAGGTATGAAATAGCTATAGAGATACTATTTTGATACTCCATGTGGCCACCCTTATTCTGGTCTGAGAAATGTTTTTTGCTGTTTTTTAGCTTATGCTGCTTTGGAAGTGCTGTAAATTAAATTGGATAAATTATTTTTCTTCTAGAATGAAAGTTTTCTTTAGGGGAGTTCAGAGTTATTTAACTATTCTGGTACAGTACAAACTGCATATGATTGGCTTGTTTGGTCTGACTTGGGTGGTGGACAGTTCGTCTTTTTGAGCCCTTTTATGTCACTGGCAGTATTGACACCCCTGAAATGGACTAGTCCTTTTCAAAGCTGCTGGTAAAGGTAAGGTGCTCTGAGTAACAATGTAGGGAGCCTAAATGAGGTGCCAACAGTTAAGCAGGTGCTGAGTGCATGCTATGGGTAACTATGTAACTAAGAACTAATGAGGTGTGAGAACTTCAGAGCAGGCTGTTCTGACAGGAATTAGCAGGCATGTTTATATGCTTAGGTGTCTCCTTTAATACTGTAATCAATCAGAGATGGCAAATGGCAAGTGCTGTTTGCATGACTTAAGTTACCTTCAGGCAAACAGGAAGCTATTTAAGTGGTTTGTACTGTATGCTGTGTCTTGGGCAGGGATTGTCTCCTGTTAGCAAAACTTCTAGTTTAAATGAGAAGGTACCTATACGCTACCTCAATACAATCAATACCTCATGCCTCCAATAGTCTCTTAAGAACTAACACAGTTTTGAAACAAACTGTTTTGTTGTGTTTTCTGTTAAGTCAGCAAAGCTAGAATTTCAGAGTTATGTTGTAAAGATTTCTTTCCTCCCACTGCCCCCTCCACAACACACTTTAGAGCACATTACCTTTTGTGATAACTTGGATACCAATTGCCATCTTTTTAGCCTCTACCCCAAAGGAGGTGCTTAGTCTGTTGTTCGGAGGGAACTGGGAATTCTTCACATATATTTGGCTATAATATTTGTTGGTTTTATTGCTGATAAAGTAAGGTAGCTAAGTATATTTTTAGCTTTTAAATAGAGGATTCAGTTGGACTACTTTGTCCAACCTGCTGAAGTAGTTAGTATCTGAATGAATTAATGAATTCAGTATAACATGTAGATCAGAAACTGGAAATGTGTATATATCATAATGTGTCTTGGCTAAATTTTGAATAGGTTCTGTTGCTAAAATAGTAACTTGAGTCACAAAATTCAACATTTTGCACTAGGTATCCCTGACTATTACTGCAAATCACTGAGGATCTACAGTATTTGCTCTACTTTGGATTACCTGCATTGGATATGACAGTGGTAAATGGTGCAATTTGGCATAAAGTAGAAACAAAGCCTCCATTATGGATCAGTTAATCAGACTTGTTTTTCTTTCCTAAAAGTGTAACTCTTTATTCCTTCACAATTAAAATAGAATTAATTTCTTGTATTTCTATATAAGTACTATGGGAAAAATAGATGAAAACGTCTACACGGCTTTTTGTTGTTTACGTTGCTTCTCCATGTTGTTGTATAGCCTTGTTTTGCTATTATTGAAAACTGCAGTTGCAATATTCAACTTAATTTAAATTTAGAGTCATGGTTCATATGAAGTAAACCAGAATGTCTTTGCAACATTAACATTCATATCTATCTATATCTATATCTATATCTATATCTAGATAGATAGATAAAATTTCTAGGGATGTTTGCTTTGATGGGAGCTACTAATCTACATCCATTATACATTGATAATACAACAAATTCCATAGCTTTTTGGGGAACAACCTCCTTATTACATTTGACATCTCAGTGTTGTCCATGCATTCTTCTTTCTTAAATAAATTTTTGTAAATGTATTTGTACAATGAATCATTTTATGTCTATCATAAAGGTAGGTACAGTTTATTAAAAAAACTGTCTTGAAATCAAATTTCTGGCAGGTAATGACAGTGTAGTTTTATACAATAACATATATTCTTTGTCTTACTAAAATTCATATAGGATGGTCTTTGAAATGTTATGTGGGAAATGGGAGAAAACATTCAAAATGTGGTTAAGCTGGAGCAGGTATAATTGCTGATGTCCAGGGAACCTAGCTTAATAGTAAATAAATCGGTACTTTGGAGAAAATGTAATACTGAACCCTGACAGACTTCAGCCAGTACACTTTCTTTTCTTTACTGATTGCTAGTTTAAGTAGCATCCGCTGGAATGGCTATAAAGTATCAAAGGTGGTTTTACATGACACCTATGTTCGATAAGTATGAAGATGTTCTATGTTTCTACAAGGTAGAGAAGGATGACTTTGAGATGAAGTCACAGAAATACATGAAAATGAAAATTCCAGCTGGACTACACTTGGAGTAAGAAGGCAGGAGACTGTAAAATAGAATAGGAGTGTGCAGAGCCCTTTGACTTGGATAACTTAGTCTGTCTTTTAGTATCTTCCCAGTTAGTGCTGGGGCAGCTGGATTTTTGTGTTGTTTATACATATTTTTATACCCTTTAATTGAACAGAAGAGCTATTCCATGGGAGGGGTCCATTCTGATGACAAATTTGCAATGCATCTTCCTCAAATGGGTCATTATGCACCACCAAATGTATAGCCTGATGGTTGCAATATAGGACTTGAAAGTGCCCTTGGTTAATAATTATATGTAAAGCTAAGGCAAACTGCAGTTTTCTGCCTGAAATTTTGAACTTCTAGCCACCATTAACACTAACAGAATAACCAGTGAATAAAAGGCAAGTGCTGAAAGGGAAAAGAGGCAAGTGATCTTGATTAGTGATTTGGTGGTGGCAGAGAGCATGATACCGAATAAGAGGATGTGCTTCTTTCCTTAGAGAGATCAGGGCTAGAGAGGAGAAAAATCGCTTCATTATAACCTATGCTTTTATTTATTTATTTTAATGTGTCAAAAAATTCCCTGAAATGGGGGGAGGGGCAGGGGTGGAGAGATCTGGGAATAATGTAGAATTCAATTAAGACTGCTTAAAGTGAATAGGTGGTTTGAAATATGGAACTAGGCCTGCAGTTCACTGTGCCCCCAAAATCTCCCTTAATTCAGTAGAAAAGGAAAGCATGAGGATCAGGTCCTAAATAGCTGTCCTCATATGACAGTCCTCTTGAGAGCGCTTAGAGTTTTACTCTGCAATTTAATAACTCCAAGACAGAAGTGAATTTTTACATCGGCAGTTTTTTTCAACATGAAATATTTTATAGAATAAAATTATATACTGCATTTATTTTTTCCCCCATTTTTGGCAGTTTATGTATTAAGAGGTTAGAATTTCACATCTACTTCAAATTTTCAAGCATCATTTAACTGACTTGTACCAGCCAAATGCATCCCCATTAAGCAGAATTTCTCCTAATATTGTGCCAATTAAGTAGCAGACATTGCTTTCAACATCTTTAGATGAAATCAGCTCCTCAAGAGTTGCCACTATTAAGCAGAATTCCTAATTAGGAGTGTTCTAAATGAAATGCAGAGTGTGCTTTTTAATAAGTTTCTATGTGTGCTAGCTTTTTCTCTTCGTATCCGTAGACTTGATATTTTTCACATGAGAGAGCAATGTATTTTCCCTAGAAATAATTTGTACGATCATTAGCTTATTTTATTTGTGGTTGTGAAAAATAAAGATTTTGAATTGGAAAGAGTCCAGAGTGCCTTGGAAAAAATATAGGGAACTTCTTATTTCACTGTAGAACTACTGAGTTTCATGTATGCATAGAACATCTTAGAAGCATATTTAGATCCAAACCAGCAAAGATTTACATGCATTTAACTTAAGTTTTTAATGCTAACATTTTTGTTACACTGAACCAAATGGAATGCTTAAAAATAACCATGTGCATAAGCTTTTGCAGAACTGCAACCTTGGTGAAGTCAATATTCTACACCTGCCTACTGTGTATCTCTTGTTTTGTTTTTGTTTGTTTTTAATGCTCCTGACCCTTGATTCAAAATCTGTTTCCTCTCTATTGCTGACAGCCTATTTATACCAAATTCTAATTTTCATACATCAGCTACAGAATTGTACTAGGAAACAAAGCACTTTCATCACATTTTGTAATTTTTCCCCTTTCCTCTCAACTTTCTACCTTACTAAAAGATTAACTATTGTTGTTTGCATTTTTGGCGTGTGGTTTTTTTTTTTAGTGGAAAGTTAGGGCTATCACCTTTCAACCTGAAAGGGGATTGCTTCACGGTGATGAGCGTCTGAAAGAAATGGTAATGCTTATAATGATATTTTGAAACCCTAGCCAGGTAACAGTCATTCCAGCTACCGATTAAGTAAAGCACTTAACTTCAAAACCAATGAAAACTTGAAGCCAATTGGACAACTTACACATAAGTGCTTTTCTGAATTGGTCATGTTGCATGACTGTTTAAAACTAAAATTAAATTC